TTTTTCCCTGAGGAGGAAAGAATCTTCCTTTTATCTCTGGTTTCAGTGAGATATGGGTCTAGTGCCTCACCGAAAAGCTTGTCACCTGTGCAGAGGACAGAAGCTAGCTTACACTTTCGGCGTGACTCCGCCTGCCAATTCTGGAGCCACAAAAGTCTTCTCACCGCCACCGAAGATGCCATGGCCCTGGATGCAAATTTGGTGGAATTGAGGGTGGCATCCACAGTAAATTCCACTGCTGCTATGATTTTGTTGAGGTCCTGATGTTACCTGAGGTCAGAAGCTGGAAGTTGGTCTTGCAGTTGGTGCAGCCATTGCAGAGATGCCCTTGTAAAAAACGACGCAGTGGTTGAAGCCCACAGCCCACCCAGCTGCTTGGCGGTTGCATTTGAGAGGCTGTTTGGAGCGTTTATCTTCGGCTTTAACTATGTCTTCTGGCTCGGTGGGAGTGCCAGAAGAGGAGAATGAGGCCACGACAGAAGCATCTACAGAGGGCACTGCAAGGGTGTTGGCTAGGGAGGGGCCCACATTGTAGAATCATCTATTGATGATGGACGAGGACCTACCGAAGGGGAAGCACACTGCTCCTTGACCAGGTAGAGAAACAGAAGAGGGGAAGGCAAAACCTCTGTGTGCACTACAGGCTTGGAGAAGAGAGAATCTGCTTGCCCAGAGGGCTCCCCTTGTGGCTCAGGAGCCACTTCCTCAGGTGACAGTTTGGCAGTGACCAAGGTTTGAACAGGGCTGGTTTGAAGACCAATGTGGAAGAGAGCTGATCTGGATGAGAGTCTTCCTCCTCGGAAAGATTGGGGTCCTAGATTTCCCCCTCTTTGCACTCTGAGCGAGGGTAGCGACTGTGTTCAGATGGGGATGCGCGCTCATCCCCCTCATAATCCTCCCATTCTGCATGGGATGAATGGGCCCTGAGGTCCTGGGGCATGTGGAAACCTCTTTGAGGAGGCAAGGAACCTATAGACTGGGAAGGGAGAAGAGCCTGAACCCTTTCTAGAGGCCGAAGAAGCTGTTGGAATCCTTCAGCCAATCCCCTGTCTAATGGCCAAGGAGACAATGTCTTGAATCTCCCTGGGCCTGTCGGCAATGGTAGGGTTGGAAGGCCGAAGGCCAGCCGCCATGGGTGTAAAGGGGGCTTCTGGCCAATTTATGGAGGAGCCCTGAACTCTGGAGGGAAGAGAAGGGGCATAGGCCCCATAGGCCTGCTTGAAATGGGGCCCTGACCTGCTTAAATTCTGAGGATCTAGTTGTTCCTGAAATCTCTCAGGGGACCATGCTGGAGGGGGTCCAAAAGATCCAAAAATGACTTCCCTTCCCCTGGGGGGGAAGGTAGCTGGGATGCTTCCCTGCTTGCCTGCACAGCACGCTGGCAACATGGAGTCCTCAACGTTGCAGGAGAATGGAGCCCCGCTCTCCTGAAGTTGCAGCTACCTGGATCCCTGGGAGCTGTTTGAAGTTGAGATAGCTTCTTTTGGAATCCACTGAACTGAACCACTAACACTTTCAGAGACCCAGCTTGTGACTGAAAAGAAGCTGAATCAAAGCTGGGGATTCTCCTGGGGGCTGGCTTTTTATATACAAGAACAGATTCAGCTTAATGACGTCATAAGAAGGAGTCTAACCCATCCTGGGCTCTTGCTGCAGTAAGGAGGAGAATTTACTAAACACCGAATCAAGTATTTTTTTGGTAAATTTGCCAAATAGTGCATACAGGTAGTTCTTGACTTACAACCAGTGATGGTACTCTACCGGTTCGGCCCGGTTCTGGCGAGCCGGTAGTAGTGATAAGTAGTGGAGACTGAACTGGTTCTCTCCGCTGCTCTGCTGTTGGGCCCACCCTCCTGCCCAGGCTCCCATACTGACCTTTACCCGCTGAATTTGAAGCGTAGCTGTTTTGCGTGGCACAGAAGAGTGCTGCGTGGCAGCTGCTGAAGTGACCGGGATCGTGCAGACTTGCAGGAGGCGAGTTAGAATGCCTCTGTGCCTGCGTAAACACCTCTGCGCCTGCGTAAAGTGCATGTTTGGCGCACGCGTGCACGCAAAGTGCGTGCACACACGCAAAGCACACCCACCAAGCCACACCCACCAAACCGGTGGCAAAAATATTAGAATCCCACCACTGCTTACAACCATAGTTTGACTGTTTGAAGTTACAATGGCACTGAAAAAAGTGACAGTGCCTCTTTTTCATACTTACAACTGCTGCGGCATCCCCACGGTCACAAGATCAAAATTAAGATACCTGGCAATTGTCTTGTATTTATGACGGTTGCAGTCTCCCAGGGTCACGTGATCATACCTTGCAACCTTCTGACACGCAAAGTCGTTGGGGAAGCCACATTCATTTGAAAACTGTGTTACTAACTTAAAAACTGCAGGGAGTCACTTAACAACTGTGGCAAGAAAGGTTGTAAATGGAACAAAATTCAATTAGCAACAGAAATTTTGAAGTCAGATGTGGTCATAAGTCAAGGACTACCTGTATCAACTCGGAACTGAAACTCCCTTGGCTTTACTTTTAAAGTTACCTAACCGCAGAATTTTAACCACTTATTTCTATCCCTCCACCAAAATGTTGAATCTCAGTTGACTAATTTAGTGATCCTAATACAGTAGCATCTAATAATGAGAAGACTGATTGTAATACCTACTGATAAAAATACAGAAATTACAACACTTGAATCAATTAGCCTTTTGCAGAGTGCAAACGGTTCTACCTGGATTCAATCTTACTGTTTTTTGAAGTTCTCAACTTCCCGAATCTCTAACTTTCTGTTCACTAGCACCTCTCACATGCGTCTCCTTCGCTTGACGACTGAATCAAAATTGGGCATGCTCAGATGAAGGAGGTATGGCCAAACATCTGATTGATTCCATCTCCGAGTGAAGAAGAGGAGTCCACACCCAAGCATTGGATTCTTGGTCTAGCCCAGCGGAGAAACTATTAATTCAGAAGTTCGTAGTTACATGTTAATTTACTACTTTGGCCCAGTTTCATAAAATTATTAAATTGAACCACATAAAAAGTTATTTGGCCATTGCAGAATTTTGTATGTATTATTTATACATTAAATGCTCCATAAGAAATATGCACTGATCTGGGGCTGAGAAGATTTAATAAAATCATAACAGATACTTATTTCTGAAATCAATTTTGGACTGAAAGAGCCTTTACTCGATAGAGTTAGAAATTTGGTTCAGGTACCAGTAGTCCTTGACTTACAACCACAATTGAGGCCAAAATTTATGTTGTTAAGTGAGAATTTATTGAGTTTTGCCTCATTTTTACGATCTTTCTGGCCTAAGTTGTTAAGTGAATCAAGCTTCCCAATTGACTTTGCTTGTCAGAATGTTGGAAAAAGTGATCACATGACCTCAGGAAGTTGCAACAGTCATAAGTATGAACCAGCTGCCAAGTGCCTGAATTTTGATCACATGACCAAAGGTTGTAACTATGAAAATGGTCATAAGTCACTCATAATAAGGAATACTACTCACTATTCCTTCCATACTGAGGTATATGAGATTCAAGCATGAAATATAAAGTCAAATCATTTAGGCCAGGACTGTCAAACTCCCCGCCCATAGCCAGATACGTCACCTGCTGGCCACACCTGGTTTAGCGAAGGGGGGGAACTCCTGATATGCCACATGATGCTGCCGTAACACCGTGAGTTTGACACCCCTGATTTAGGCTTATGAAGATCTTTTTGGATAGCAATAGTCTAAAATTTCCACTTACTTTTAAACTAGAAATATCATGAACATTTAAGAAAAAAATAAAGCTACTTCCTTTTTACAACTTTATTTTTGTTCTAAAAGAAAAGAGATAAGCAATACATTTTGAACAGAAAAATTAAGTTGAGTAAAAGAGTCTCTGTCCATTCTCCATGCTCTTTTTTATTTAGACAGCATCGTCCCATATTGCTGCTTTCATTAACCAAAATCAAGGAGAGTAATGTGTGAATCATGACCCCTAGCTTACTAATCACTGAAACAACCACATGAGATTTCACACTCATTACCTTGGCAAATAGCAATAAAGGGTATTAGAGACAGTTCATGGGTTTTGAAAAAGTAGTCAACTTCAAACATCCAACAACTGACCAATAATTCACCCAACCTTTCTCCTGGAATGTTCATGAATTGAGTGTTTAGAACAAAAGTAACATGATAAAATAAATAGCAATTTTTAGACAAGCAAACACTTACACAATATTCTTCAAATTATGGGGAAGTTCAATCCTTTTCCTGACATACTTCTCCCCTCTTTTATGAGAGAAATAAGAAAAATGAAAAGCAAACTCTATTGTTGCTTGAATTTAACTTCCATTTCAAAAGAATGATGGGCATTTTTAACAGCTAAGCTCTTTTTTGCTTTCCAGCATTTATAATAAAACAATTTTCAGGCTAATCAAAATGTTAAAAAGTAGTTTAAACATGAAATATAACAGGCTTGCCTAGTTTCAGGGCATATAAGCAAGGCACTTAGTTTCCATGTATCATCACTGACTTTTAATGAAAGTATTCATAGCTAGCTACATATAGTCACACATCCATGTTAAGTTATTGCCTGATTGCATAGGTAATGAAGATACGGCAACAGTACTGCAGTGGTTAGTCAAGGAAATTATTAGTCCAATCTATTTCACAAGGTTATTGGGATGAAACAAGATAGGGTTAATAAAATAGGGTTAATAAATATTTTTTTAAATATTTCCTTCAATCCCAGGAATGGTTCTGTGAAGATATTTCTCATTGCAACTACAATATGTTTTTTTAAGAACGGGCTATAAAGTACAAACAATAGATAATTTAGATAAACACTGAAAATAATTTTTCCATGCTGTAGAAATTTTTAAAATAGAACACTGCTGATTCTTATTCACTACTCTATCAATTTATCGATCCATCCATCCATTTAAAGTAAATATATATTGACATAAAATGACAATTTATATGTACCTTTGGATTATCCAAATACTTGCCTGGAATATATCCCACTGACAATATCATTCTGAATAGAGTCTTCTGTTGACAAGTTGGGGCCAGCAGCCTTAGACACAAGTAAAACCACGAGACCTCTCATCTGCAAATTGTTCCTGGTGTCAGATATAAAGCCCCTAGAAAAGAGGAAAGAAGAATCAAGTAAGTCCAAATAGTCTATAGAATTCTCCTAAATTTATTTTTTGTCAAATGTGTTAGCTTCACAATATTAAGCACTCATTATTCATACAATATTTCCAAATGGGGGCCTCAACGAGTTACACAGGTAGTCATTGACTTACATCCATTCATTTAGTGACTATTCAAAGAACTGAAAAAAGTGATTTATGACCATTTTTCACACTTACAACTGTTGCAATATCCCCATGGTTATATGATCAAAATTCGGGTGCTTGACAACTGGCATGTATTTATGACAGTTGCACTGTCCCGATCATCATTTGTAACCTTCCCAGCTGGCTCCTGACCAGCAAAAGTAATGGAGGAAGTTAAATTCACGAAACAGTCACAAGATTCACTTAACAACTGCAATGATTCACTTAACAACAGTGACAAAAATGTAAAATGGCAACACTCACTTAGCAACTGTCTTGCTTAGCAATGGAAATTTTGGGCTCCATTGCCATTGTAAGTTGAGGACTAGAATTAGAATTCTTTTATTGGCCAAGTGTGATTGGACACACAAAGAATTTGCCTTGGTGCAAATGCTCTCAGTATACATAAAAGAAAAGATACATTCATCAAGAATCAAGAATCATAAGTTACAACATTTAGTAATAGTCACAGGGTACAATAAGCAATCAAATCATACTAGGAAATAGTCAATATAAATCATAAGGATACAAGCGACAAAGTTGCAGACTACCTGTAAATCCAATTTGAATAATCATTTAAATACTGAGCAGATTATTTTGAACATGCTAAATAACGATCATTTCTGATCATGTAAAGATATTTTAAACCATGATTCAGGCCACTTTCTCAATGTTTCCCAGTCTGAGACCTCTAGATTGCCAAAATTATTAGTTACACAATTTCCAATTACTTTGTCTATTTGGCCATTCTAGCTGAACATTCTAGAATTCAGAGCTTTAAAACTTGGCCAACAATGTGTCAATAGAAATCTCCCTTTATTCCAAGCTGAACTTTAATTTTTAAAGATTCTAAATAACTAAATTGAAAATTGGTGTGCCAAAGCTAAGTACCAGCCTCAAGCTGAATTGTTACTTCCAAGAATGTTGCTTGTGACCTCTATATACGCCAGAGGCCTTCGTAAGAAAGTCAGAATGACACAAAATTAGATCTCGGGGCTTTATAGGAAGTATATGTAAGTATATATTCAAAGAGTATTAAAAATTTGGGCTTGAATACTTAAGAAGCAATGCAAAACCAACTTCTTTCTGAGAGCTACAGAAAATATTAATAGAATAGAATAGAATTCTTTATTGGCCAAGTGTGGTTGGACACACAAGGAATTTGTCTTGGTGCAAATGCTCTCAAGTATAGATACATTCATCAAGAATCATAAGGTACAACACTTAATGATAGTCATAGGGTACAATAAGCAATCAAATCATACTAGGAAACAGTCAATATAAATCGTAAGGATACAAGCACAAAGTTACAGTCCTACAATCACAAGTGGGAGGAGATGGGTGATAAGGAGTGATGAGAAGATTAACAGTAATAGGAATGCAGACTTTGTAATGGTTGAACAGTGTTGAGGGAATTATTTGTTTAGCAGAGTGATGATTTGGGGGGGGGGACTGTTATTTATCTAGTTCAGGGGTGTCCAACCTTTCACCTTCCCTGGGCCACATTAGAAGATGAAAATTTGGTTTGGGCCACACATAAAATAAAATAACAGTAACGATACCTGATCATCCAAAAAAATCCATAGAAAACATAGTTAACATATTAAATTTATTTGGAAATGAAGTTAGTGAGATGTTTTTATTATTTATTATTTATTAAAAAATATTTTTTTTATCACGGTTTTTTTATCACAGTTTATTTTCCGGCCAAATTTTGCGGGGGAGAAAGCTCGCCCGCCTCGTGCCTACCTCTCCACCTGCAAATGGCCCGGCTGGATGAGGCAGGACTGGAAGGAAGAAGCAGCAGTGGCAGCAGGGGCGGTGGCGGGGGCAGAAGCAGCAGCGGTGGTGGGGGAAGAAGCGGCGGCAGCGGCAGCGGGGGCAGAAGTGGCGGCGGGGGCAGTGGGGGCAGAAGCAGCAGCAGTGGCGGGGGAAGAAGCGGCGGCGGCAGGGGCAGAAGCGGCGGCGGGGGCAGAAGCAGCAGCAGTGGCGGGGGAAGAAGCAGCGGCGGCGGGGGCAGAAGCGACGGCGGGGGCAGCGGTGGCAGAAGCAGCGGCGGGGATAGAAGCAGCAGCGGTGGCGGGGGAAGAAGCGGCAGCAGAAGCGGCAGCAGCCACGGGGGCAGAAGTGGCAGCGATGGCGGGGGCAGAAGTGGCAGCGGGGGCAGAAACGGCGGCGGTGGCGGCGGCGGCAACAGCAGGAGGTGGCGATCTGACGGTGCCCACCTTTTCTATTGCTGCTTGGCCTGGCGCTCGCCTCGCCCCGCCTTGCGCCTGCCTCTCCTCCTCCTCCTCGCTGGCTCTGGCACGAAGGTTGGGGTGGGCACTGGGCCGCATTATGAGGCGACCTGGGCCGCATGCGGCCTCTGGGCCGCAGGTTGGACAAGCCTGGTCTAGTTGTTCTGGCATGCAGTGCTCTATACAGCATTGTTTTGAGTTGAAACAGTTTATGTCCGGGATGTGAGGGGTCTGTAAATATTTTCACAGCCCTCTTTTTGACTCATGCAGTATACACGTCCTCGATTGAAGGCAGGTGGGTAATAATTGTTTTTTCTTCGGTCCTAATTATCCTCTGAAGTCTGTGTCTGTCCTGTTGGGTTGCAGAACCAAACCAGACAGTTATAGAGGTGCAGATGACAGACTCAATAATATGTTCATTATGATGCCTGAATATATAAAAGTGAAATACCACCCACGCATTATCACAAAATCTCCAGGACTGTAAAGCCTGCAAACTTGAAATTTGGCACGTATGTTCCTCTTGAATTCTAGAAAGGATTTTTCAAAATGACCATCAGAGCATTAGTATTTTATATATTATTAATAGGCTTCAATGCTAAGGTGTTCTACTCCCCCTCCTCACCTGAAAACAAATCTGTTCCAAATGCAAAACACAAGCAGAGGAGATGAGTTTCAGTTTTAGTTTTACTTTCAAGCAGCTTTAGTGCAGAACAGTTGACTTAAGCTATGCCCAAGCTCCTTGCCATCTCCTTGCTCACACAGCAAATACTGTTTCAGTTTCCAAGCAGCCCTCAACTCTCTTACACACTGACAGTACGATAGCCAGATGAATATTGATCGATGTTGGTAGGCAGAGGCAGAATTCTGTCCCCCTTATTTTCCTCCCCCAAAACTAAGCTCAATCACATACTTTCATAGTGAAGCACAGGTACTTCACTATAATACTTTCGTGAAGTACTATATAATACTATAATAAATTAGCATAACCTAGATAACTAGTTGATCCCAAAAAAGCTAACTAGGATCAGTCATGGAGACCAACAGGAAGTCTCAGGGCTTTGCTAGATTGAAAAACCAAACAAAAATTCAAAAAGGCAATGACAAATTATTTTAATTGTTGCCAAGAACACAGCATTAATTTTGGAAATCTTTTATTTTATGAAATAACAATGTTAAACTAGCCAGATGCAGCAGACTTAATTGTCTTTAAACCAAAAAAATAAAACTGAATAAAATGTAGTTCTGGAAAAATCAATATGAATTTCTTACATTTGATTTTGTTTATTAGAACTTCTTGACATATATCTCTGACTCATTGTATTTGTATTTAGTATTTCTCACTGTTATAAAACTACTAAAGCAACAGTTTGTGTATCAGAGGCATTATATTCAAGAGGAAGGTTCATTTAATGTAGTATATACAGAAGGATGTGAAAATGCAAATAAAATTAATATACTACTGCATCAGAGATTGTATGGTTAAGTAGTTAACCCTGAAGGTATTTTGCAAATTGTACATCTGATTTAAATTAAATCAGTATTCAAAGGAGGTGCTCAAAATACTAAAGTTAGAAGAAAAGTTCTGTCAACACATCCATCTTCATTGAGACTGAATGAAAATGTAAATGAAGTCAATTACCATATGACAGAAAATACATAAAAATAGAATATAGAGACAGTGAAGCACCAATCACTGTATACTTCATTCTTGTGAGAAAATAGCTAATTCATAGCAAATCCATGTAGAGAAATAGTGGGCACTATTAAGCAAGAGCATAGGCACAAATTCATATAATGTCCTTGCATATGATCTAAATCATCTAGTGTTCCCTAAGATTATTTATGTTTCCTTTCCAAATTGTGAGCTAAGAATTAAAAAAAAAATTTCTAGCCATCCAAAGCTATAAACAGACTTATATTAAAGACATGGAGTTGGTCTTCACTAAAATTAATTGCAAGGGATTTGAAACAAATAAACCCTACAGTTAATCCTCCTTTAGTAATCAGAAGCTCCGGCAATCACTTGAAATGGCTTCAGGGGTCATATTCACATTCTACCTGAATCCATGTCCCTAGAGATATTCAACCCATGTCACAGGTAGATAAAAGTCTTCCAGATGGTGCAATTATTCTTGATGGGTATGTAGCAGAAGACAGGTTCCTCTGGGGGGGGGGGAAAGCGGCTGGAAGTAGCACAACTGGGCGTGTGCGCACACACACACATACAACTGAACATTAGAGTCAGATTCCTTCCTAAAACCTTGGGCAAAATATCACCACAAGTATAAATATAAATTCACAAGATTACAATATAGCTTATTCTAGTTTGTCCAGCTGATTATTATTAAACGCTACGCCTTCAAGCTAAAATTGAATTAGACCTATACAACTCTCCACTGCAAATCCAGGTTTTCGAGTGATTGAAACAATAGGAGGGAAAATACAATTATTCTCCATGCTATTCTTGTGACAAAAATAAGTTTTAAAATTAACAAATTGCTCTGTAAAAGCAGAACTCTTAATGTTCTTGACTTGCTATGAAGAGGGGAAGCCTAGCTTAGA